TTCCGAGTCGCCATACTGATCGATCTTGATCTTGGATCCGGTGATGCCTTTGGTATGAAATAATATAACCAATATTGATATTTTTTATATAGTCAAAAAGACAAAACTCACTCATATAAGTACGATTTTTGATTATGGTATCGATGACCCGAGTCCCATTGCTGGCCACTTCAAAGATCACTTCATCGGTTAGAACTCGCGTCTCCTGGCGCAGCATTTTGTCCACAGCCCAGGCATACAGCTTCACCGAATCGTACAGATAGGCGGCATAGATCGATATAAACTGAATATCAAAGGTAGGGGTGGTTACAAAGCGATTATCAAAAGATTTTGATTCGGTGCACTTTTTACCTTGCTAAAATTACTTTCAACAAATAGCTTGGGAATCGATAAATTGAAAGGTGGTTTCGAGCTATATTTTTGCACTTGTTCCGTAAACTGTATGTAGTCCTTTGTTGGGGGCGTGGAGGCCACGACGAGCAGACTACGCGCCAATTGGTTGAAGTTCTCTGTGCTGTGGCAATTCGACATAAGAGCTATTTGATCCACTCTACGCAAATACTTTTCTGCCTCCCTGAAACACAAATTCACAAACAATTATTAAACCATTTTCAAGAATTTTATGGCTATAAATAAATTACCTCTCCGAATAGACCATCATGTCGACAAAGATCACCATATACTCGCCTCGAGCAAACAGACCAGCGGTCTCCATGGAGCTCATAAAATCAACCAGACTATTGGCCGCCCCAAGGAATACGTAGATCCGAGTGCGGTTCATCGTATTCTGCACTAGCTGTTGAGGGAAATTATCAAAGAATAATATATATAATGTTATATATCGAACTTAAACATATCTATATAGTAAACTATTTAATAATTAAGTTTCAAATTATCAAATCAACTAAAACATCTTGATAAACTTTATCGGAAAATTACTTTGCTTCTACTTATATTAGAAAAATGAAAATATGAAAGGAAAATTTGATGAAAAGCTGCATTTACATGAACCCCTTTTAATTTAGTTGCGCATATAGGACTATAATATCTACATATTTTTATCAAAAAATTTTTCGTTATGTTAGGTTGATGTTTCAATCGTTTTAATTACAAAACAAAGAATTAGAATAATACTAATAAAAACTCACCTGATACCAATACCCAGAGCGACAGCAGTCCAGCATCAGCTCACAACATTTGGCCCGATTATCGATGAAGGACTGCTTGTGGTTTATGGTCATGTTGCGCTTAGTGGCCTGATCTTTAAGGAGATCTGCCACCGGAGCCCACACATCCTCGTACAAAATGGAAAACTTCTGCCACGCATAATATCGTAGAAGAGCAAGCAGCGATTTAACGACCTGAAAAATGCGAAATTTAATGTGTGCCATGTGAGTTGTGCATCAAGAAAAAGATCAAAGGATTAGAAAGAATGTGCAAAGCCAGTGCATATTTTATTGGCTTTTGTTTTCGGTTTAGCTGCAGCTTAGGGAAACATAATAGTATTATTTTTATGATAAATTCTGCAACGCTGGATAAACAAATTGAAATATTTTAAAAATACGAAAAGAGTTTGCTGATTACTCAAAAAGTTGTATTTAAGGATGATGTTTAGTTGACGGTATTCTTATTTTAATTTACAGCGCAGAAAATAATTAATAACTTATTTATCCTTTAAAAGTCTTTTAAAAATATTTATTAATAATATTAATATTAATATAAACATTTATTCTCTGACAAACAAAATGAAAGTCCTCTATGCTTTGACGTTTCCTATAATTTTATTTTATAGTATTTTCTACCGAAGTTATGTTGTTTTCTACTTATACTAAAAAATATTCTCGTCTGACAACACTGATTAAACGTTAATTTTTCTTTTGGCTTGCGGTAACTCCCAGGCTTCCTTTGTCCTTTTAATTTTGCCGTTTGTTTTCACCGGCTTGCAGATAATCCAAGGCTAAGTAGCTGTCCCAGTCGAGTCACAAGGCCACCGCATGGATGGCCACCCAAAGCGTTATGATACCCACCCACCCACTTGTCGCAGGCAGCCACCTGTTGCCCACCCACTGTTTACTCACCTGCGTATCTGGCGGTTCAGTGCGGGCGAATGTCGGTATGGCGGATGCACGGTACTCTGCGCATTTCTATTGAAACGGGAAAAATACAAGAACCAAGAACACCGCCGTGAAATGAGCAATTCCGTTGCATAAAATATAATGCGTTGCGTGAAATTGTATGTTGGCACGTTGATTGCGATGTACGACATCATAAATCAGACGCTCGAAATACTTACATAGGAAATCATTGGAATGTTTCGACTCTGCGAGACGATGGCCTCCACGTAGCATGGTCCTTCTGGTCCGAAAATGGTAGCGATGCCATCGCATATCATCTCGGTAATGGCTTTGGTGGCCAGTACAGTGTCCCCTTTGGTGTCATTCCAGCGCAGATCCAGTGTCACATTTGGGAGCAGATAGGGATCTTTGTTGACCTGTGTCCCGAAAAGAGGAAGATAAATAGTTTTGAAGAGTATTTTTTAAGAAAATATCACATTCTAGTCTTCTAACGATCTTTAAGAATGACTTTAATGGCTATTACAGAAATTCTTTGCTTCTTAAGACGGAACGATTTATTTATTTCCGACGTTCAACTTTTATTCCCAATTTAACAGGCCTAGAAAGGACCGATTTATATTTATAACTAAATCACAGCCACTTACCTCATCCAGGGCCATAGTCAGGGCACCGGATATGGCCAGTCCCTGGCGCGTCTTAAGGTCGCCAGTGAGGGCCGTTAGGTAGCCGACTGTGAGGACGGTGCGATGATTGCTACAGTCGCGTACTGCCACCGACAGCAAGAGTAGTAGATTAAAGGGCCAACGCGTCATGGCCCCTTAGGCCGGGGCCGTTCAGCGCGACGCCTATGGGTTCCAACAGATTCTCACACTGCAATGAACGGAGAAAAAGAGGTTAAAGATCAGAGAACGGACCAACAGAAACCCAAACTAAGTGAGGATGCAATCGCAACTGTCAAGGACACCCTTTGCATAATAAAAATGCTTGTTTGACAAAGGCAAACACAAATAGGAAACAGCATTCTGAGCGCATTTCAGACACTTGGCTTGATTCGGATGAAAGAACTAGATTGCAGACAAAGCAGAAAAGCACACTCACTGAACAGTACACAGGGAATAAATAATATTATAATATACATTTTTTTATATAAATTTGTTTGCTATATTTTATATAAAATTGGTTACTAAGTAGCACCTCCTCTAGACTTTGATCAAAAATTTCATTCATATTGGCATACGTGACGTATGAGTAATTGGTATAAACACTATTTATTGCTCACAAAAATTTGCCATAAATCAACTTCCACCTAAGGTAAATATAAATATAAACATAATATTGTGTTTTTTTTTTCTCACCATAAAGTTATCTTATTAAGTATAAAGTTACTTATAATTTGATCTTATAATTAAGAAATATAGTCAAAGTAAAACCATTTTTTTCTGTTTAGCAATAAGCTGTAACAGAGACGGAGAAGGAAATGACTTATGAATGTACTCTAGCAACAGGATGCAAAGCCAGTGCCCACGCAAACAAATGTCAAATGTTAGAATGGCAAACTTCAATATCGTTGACCACTCGGAGGGCAAACGAGCGTAGGAATTTTGTAATTAGTGTTTTCAGTACTTTATCATGAGTCAGTGGCAAATCACTGATAAGTAGCTTACTGGCGAGGCCTCTTTCATTCAGGATTTTCATTTACCCTCCCGCACAGGACCTCCCGTAATGATGTGTGCACAGCTTGTTAATATTAATTATGCATGCGTTGATTTTGTCATTATGTAATTTCGTTTGAGGCATTAAATATATATGTGTATATATCGCTGGCTATTTTGTTTCAGGAATTTGTTTGTTATTATCCCAGCCCACGCAAACACAAGCACCCCATCGCCATGCACCTGTTTTTGTCCTGATTGTTTGCGCTGAAGTGGAAGCTTATTCCATGGGATTGGATTACGGAACTGTTCGGCTGGATGATGGCGTCGCTCATCATTGTTTGTCTTTTCTTTTTCGTATAAGTTTAATTAAAAGAATAATGTAAATACGAAAGCCAATATTGAACGGAATGAAGAGGAAACATTTCATAATAATTATGCAATTAAAATCGGATGTTTTTCTTTTGTGTTTAAGGTTCAATTATAATTTAAACACAATTAAAACACAATTCAAAAGCATAGAGTAAACACATTTGTAAAAGCATTATAAAAACGTACACTTAAATAAATCATTTCATATACATTTCATTCAAAATGAATTTTACAAATTGCGGTTAAATAAATTTTATATATTTACTAACGTTTAAATTAATAATTTAAAAATTTAAGCAAATATGCATCGCATTTAATATTTTATTACTCTTTGAAATTTCAGGAATTCCCTGATTACCTAGAATAACACTTATGTATATTGAAGGCTTTTACTTTTTTGCCATTCAGCATGGAGTCGCTATCTTTCGAGCACCCCAATCTCAATCAATAAGATTCGACGAAATGCTCACGCCACCATAAATTAGCATTTCCGACACACTTCACATATTTGTTTCTTGAAGTTGTTTATATTTCGCCAATGTTGCGTTTTAAAATTAGAACTACTTGGCAGGGATAGAAAATTTTCGGCGCCACTGTTAAATATTTGCGCACCATTTTGACACAATGCGAAACGCGTTTCCGAGACACGAATAAAAAGGGATTTAAATTTATTTTAAGTGCGGCTAAAATAGAAATCTCCTTTTCCCAGAATTTAGATTAGCTTGATATGAAGGCATATCACATTCTTTTAAAATGTATAAAGTTTGTACAGAATTTATGGGAACGGGAATGTTAAGTTTTTATAAAAATCATCTATGAGTTATTTTTTTGTAAATATTTTGTCTTTCAAAATTACGATAAATCGGCCCCTTTTCATATAGTGTCAGATGCGTATTGTTTTAAATGATCAGATCCTGTTCGATCTCAAATCCCACATCATGTTCGTTATTTGTCAGTGGTTGGTCTAGAAATTTTTTGTTTTTTCGATTCGAAAGTTTTCACCTTTTTCCGTCGAACACTCCTCCGGCAAAAGACCCTCAAAATTCAATGTTTGCTTTGAAATCAAGAGCCCGTCCTTAGAGCGTACTGGAGTGGAGCCGCCGTCGATTCCTAGTTCGAGTCCGAGGGTTTGATTGAACTCGAAATCCACACGTCTACCGTGAAGCCGAAGGTCCGTCGTCGCACTCGTGAACTATGTGACAGCGGCACTTTGAGGATAGCGCCAGGGCCGGGTTTACCATTGAGCCTCCGGAGGAGCCGGAATCACAGCCTGAGATTACGACGCCGCAGGGCAGCAGTTTCGAGGAGGAGCAGCAGCAGCAGCAGCAGCAGCCGATCCACGGACGAAAGCGAACCCGGCGCCATGGCCATTCACGAGCAGATCGACAACCTCAACATCTGGTGGTTTCCGCGCGACTTCTGCCAGTCGCGGTTTGGCGAATTCCAGCAGAGCGGCACCAACTCCTGTACCCTCATATCCCTGATACTGGCCGACAAAGTGTCCAAGGCGGAGAGGTTCTACCACCGGGTATCCGATCTGCCGATGCGCGGCTGGGAGCTCTTCGGCAATGCCATGAACGACGGCAACAATGTGTACCACAATGTGATCACAACCAACACACCGCAGGCCAGGAACCTCAATCTAAACATTCCGGATGCGATCGCTGCCATTCGATCGCAGCACAAAATGAACTTCCGGCTGGAGGAGTGGTTCTACACGCACATGGAGGCCGACCCCAGGAATCCGATGTACAATCGAAACGTGGCCGTGCAGCTGTCCCGGATTTTCCACATCACGATGCAGGTATTTCAGCAGGCCAACGGGCGGGATAACATGGCCACGCACCTTTTTGCCGCCATTATTGCGGACAGTCGAACGGTGATGGTAACCTTCGATTTCCGATCCTCGATCGTCGCCCTCTTCGACTCGCACCAGCACGGCCGGGATGCGGGCGCCGTCTTCGCCCAGTGCACGCTCCAGAACATGGACGACCTGCTTTTCTGGTTCATCAGCATGCTGCACAACGTCTACTCCAGCCGGCCCTCGCTGTTCGAGATCTCGTTCCTCAGCTCGCAGCCGGGTGTGGCCAAGCGCATTCCGCCGGCCATCAAAAAGATCGCCGGCGAGCTGAAGAAGCCGCTTAAGATGAACATTCCCAGGCCCTAGCACTGATCATCCATCGTGACAAGGAAAATCCATCCAGTACTCCCACCTACTATCAAAAAGGCAGGTCTAAGAGCGGGCCAAAAGTTTTAAACTAGTCGAAACCAATTTATCGGACCATTTACGAACAAAATCTTTAAGTTTCCATAGACAAAATTGTGCGTTTGGGAAAATTCAAAATTTTCAGTAGACCATAAACCAATAAATAACGAACACCATTTCATATTGTTTTCCTATAAAATATGGTGGCTACTAAAGTACATTTCGGGAATGCATTATATTACTACTTTTATAGTATCTTTATCTATTTCAAGTCAGCGATAACGTCATTTAAAATTGGCAATATCCATCACTAAGATCAATTCATACTTTTGATTTATCTGTTTTATTAGCTTAGATCTTTTAAGCTTTATATTATAACGGTTCTGCAAGTCACCTAATCAACTTTCAATTTAACAAGAATTGCCTTTTCATTCTAAACTAATTTTCTGAAATTCCAATACGCAATTTGTGCTTTTACCTCGCACTTTTGCGCAGCAATAGACAAAATTAAATATCTAACTAATTTGCTGAACTAAATAATGACACTTAAAATTATTTAATTGTGGACACGTTATTTACCGTTCCTTGTGTGTGGATGTGTGCGTTTTTGTTGATATCTGTTTATTTATTTATAATTTCTGTTATAATTTCTGTTTTTAATTACACTTGAGTAAACAATTAATATAAAAGACGCTCGAACATCTGCGTGGGGGATTTTTCTCCTGTTGTTGTTGGTTTCTTGGTTTTTGGCCTCCCGGCTAACCCAAAATCGAATGGCTTAAAGAAAGCAACAAAAATGACAAAAAAAAAGAATAAAAGTTGAACTTTGTAACGGGAATTGAGTATGTAGTGCGCGTGTTGCTCAGCCGTATTTTTCTCGACTTCTAATCAAAATGAGTTAAATAAACACATAACGTAACCTATTAAGAACTTAGTACGTGACAACAATTTAAATATTTATAAAGTAAACAGAGAGTCCGCGAGACAGAGAGACAAAGAGACGGAGAGAAGCGGAGGAGGAGAGGAGGAGAGTCTAAAAATAGAATCACATATCAAAGAAAATATGAGAAAACAAATCGAAAACAGAGGCGCAAGACGTGATAAAACGTTTAACGTTAAATGTGAAAAGCGGCCAGAGAGAAGTCAAAACAGAGAAATAGAGAAATAGAGAAAACGAGAGCGTCAAAGAGAAAAAGAGCAATGCATCCGAGTTGTAATCAACAAACAAACAGCTACAAGTTGTGTAATATAAAAATATATCGCGTAGCCGCAACGTGGGCCGTATTTCATACACCGTGCTCTTTTCATCTTACTCTTTTCTCTCTCTTTCCAACAGCGCAACAAGTTGCAGTGGTATTTTTTTTTCGCTTTTGGGGCGGGGGATCCCGCTTTTATTGCACTTTTCAGACGAAGTTGTTTGTTGCTGCACGTGTGTATACACATACTTGTGTACAAATTGTCTGGATGTCTAAAAATAAAACCTGCATACTAAAAATAGAAACCAGACGCAAACACGACAATCCATTGGCCAGTGGATAAACCAACACGACATTACATATTTCAACAAACAAACATCACCAAGGGGGTTCCCCGAGGGGGGAGAAGCAGTGATTTTCGAGAAATAAGAAATCTCGGGGTTTCCCAGGGGGGGGACGAGAAATAAATAAAAACAAATACCAACGGGCAGGCACCATCAAAATGTGCGTGCCTCAGTCGCCGACAATTGTCATCGACATCCACATCATTGACTCACTGCCGGGTATATATAATATTATATCACACGCCATTCCACCATACCATACTATACCCCACAACAGACCCATTCTCAGTTTCAGTTCCAATTCAATCTGAACGTCTGGCCTAGCGATTGTGTTCTTATGTATTTACATATAATCAGATATGTACAAATGTGCGTTTGTCGACCTCTCAATTTTATTTCTTTCTCGAAACGCGATTTGTATGGAACAGAGTTTCGAATTTTATTGGGGTAGGTTCGAGGTCCCCAATTAAGCTGACCAATGAAAGTTCCCTAAAGAGTTAAAGGTATTAACACTATCATTTACCAGAAGATTTATTTTGGGAAGGGCAGGCGTATTTCCGTCTTTAGTTTCTCAAGTAAATTCGAGTTTAGTTAAATAAAGACAAGAAACAATTTATTTTTGCAAAGCGCAAGTAACAAAGTGTATGAGATAGAAACATTTTTTCCTGTCGATATGATAAGAAAATTAAGATTTGTTTCAAATCGTTCTGTATAAAGGCACATATAAATGAAAAATCAGAAAATATTAGGCTCAGTTTAGAGGCCTGACCACCCACAACAAAAACCCAAAGAACAGATGCTTACAATATTAAAGTAAGCCTTTTAACAATTTTCAATTCCCTTGCGGGATTCTGTTTATTTTCGATTTGTGAGTATCTGTTATTTGCCTCGCTGACAATCAGTTCAAGGACATTACCCCACATACACAGAGACAGGCCATTTAAATCCTCTTGGTACTATCAATCATCAACAAGTTAACCCCACAAAAAGGGCAAACCAACAGAACCCTTCGCACAATGAAACATTATCTCACCACACACACAACACCCACACGTGGAGGGCCTTGGAAAAGGGTTCAAAGGCCCCTACAAATGGGAGTGAGTAGGGTCTGTTGGGCCTTAACTGGCCCACCATTAGTTAGATTATTGGGCCCTAATGTGCAATTTGATTTCATCGTCCTCTGAGATGCTTTCCAGTGAGAAAGAGAATGTGTAAGAGTAGTTCCTAATTAGAAGTGGGGGAGATAAAGGCGTTTCGCTAATGAGAAATGACGGAGAAGCCTTTAAAGTTTATGCTTCACTGAGTGAGTGAAAGTGGAGCGGTGGATCGGGTACGAACTGAACAGGACCGTTTGACAGGAAATGACAAATGAGTGGCTTATAGGTGTTCCATAACCGCAAGGACACTCCGTGCTGCAGAACAGAGGAGTGTCGTTTCACGGAGGAGCGGTAGTAACCCGACAGTTCTTGTTAGGCGAGCTGATTGCTGATTGGATAGGACTAAAAATCAACAGACAGAGGAGGGGTCACACAAAGGATAATATTTAGAATACAATATGTACATGAAAAATTACAGGCACTTAATCAAACTGAATATCATAAAACTTCATAAACATAAATTAAGTTGAGGTTGCCAATTTAAATCTAAGCGTTTTGTATTTTAAAAACAAATATTCTGATAAGTTTTCTAATACATTGTAACGAGGTACTGTTTCTCAACTGCTCAAAAGGCTTTAATTGGATTATTTTGTTTTTTTCTGGTTTTTCTTAAAGTGCAGTATCAGTTCACCTGAATGGCAGCTTATCAATCTCGGGCCCTTTGCAATCAAATACCAACAAAAACGAATTGTTCAACAGTGGCAAAAGTTTCCCCTTCTTCTTTTTGCAAACTCTTGCCACCTTCCTCTCCGGTGCTGAGCAATCACAATCCGTGCTTCGAATTGAAATCAGGCATCAATAGCCAAATACAACCAGCATACAATTTGTTGAATGAAAATGAAACGGAACTCCTTAACAATAACAATTTCATGGGAAGCAACCAGACAAAAAAACAAATGATGCAAAAACTTCCATTTGGCCATCAAAACAAAAAAAAGAAATTTGAAATTGCTGTATAGACGAGGAACTCGACTATGAATTACCTGCTGTCTACTGCCGTATTGAAAAATGTGCTGAAAAAACCTAAGGAACCGTTTGACTTTTTACAAAAATAATTGCGTTATATTTTAAGTGTACAAAAAAATCGAATCAGCTGTTCATGCTTACCAAATCTTCTTTTACGAGGTAGAAGGTATGGTTTTGCCAAATATTCCAAGAATTTATAAAATCCAATTAGAAAATGTCATTATCGATTTCAACAAAATTCAGTGGTTAGAAGTTTAGTTACTTTTATATAAAGCAATTAGTCTCCGGAAGTACTTGTACTTGATTGTTTGAAATTATCCAGTTAAACAACAGGCATTTAAAAATAAATTTCTCAATGGGAAAGTGTTTCTATTTAACACCATTCTCGTCTCACCAACAAATTGTTGAAGCTCGGATGAGCGGTATGATGAGGACCAGAATATGGAGTAAGCATTGTCAGCACATGTGTTGTGTTGCAAACTGAAATTTCACTTTCAAAGAGACCAAAAGCGTCGTTGACGATGATGAGGCCGGGATGTGGGGACAGGGGCTGCTGTAGGATGGCTTGGCATGCAATGCCATGGCCTTAGCCGCAGTTCCAACTCAAACTCCGTCCGCTCTGCAGTCTCCTTTCCTTAACTACTCCCTGATATGAGGCGCCGTTTTGCAAGCCGTAAAAGGAGACAACCCATGACGGCAGCTTTGGCATTTAACAAGCAAGCCACAGCCCAAACAAAGACAGAAAGAGAAAGATACGAGTGCACTTAAAACAAAATATGGAGCAAAAATTACATTCAATTTTATTGAAGAAATAAGACTTTGAATTGGTTTGGAAAGTCTTTATATTGGATTTTGGTTGTGTGGTTCGTAGGCTATTATTGAATTGAAATGTATCTACCATCCAAACTATGGTTGATTAATAAGAGGTCTACCATCCAAACTATGGTTGATTAATATGAGGTCTACCATCCAATAAATGTTATTCAAACATGATGAATCTGGCTTTTATAGTTCCAAAAATTCTTTTCTTTGTTCAGAGAAATCGGCTTTTTGGTCCCTGATTAATAAGGAACTTTTTAATAAAGAAAACGCTTTTTTACATAATTTTCAACTAATCTTGAATCGATTTTTTGTTGTTATAAAATATGATCTTTTATCCAAATTATTGTGCAGAATTTTTCAAGTGTATGGAGAGAGACCCACTATAAGGATAGGACAGGGGGGTAACGACTGGTCCTAACCATTTTTGGGAAGCGAGTCCAAGCAACCACTTTGGGTCGTGTGAAAGTGAAGGGCTCGCAGTGACTTTTGAGGTCGTTGCCAAAAATTTAGCTGAACTCAGCTCAGCTGACAACAATCAGTGGCGAAACATTTATGAGCGGTGGTACGGTGAAGTTATGAGTGAAGGAGAAGCTTGCAATCAGTGCTGCAGGTCGGTATCGCCATCTCAATCTCCACTCGGATCCTCTCGCTTCCTCGCGGGTTGTCATGCAAAGCAGACTTGGGAGCTGCCGTAGTCTTGGTGCTGCCAAAAAACTGGATTTTCTAAAAATAGACCGTGGGGAAATACTTGAATACGCGCCACATGTGCAACGGCCGCCAAAAGGCTCAAAATACAACAGCAAAAAAAGGCACAACAACTCAAATCAAGCCGAGTTTCAGGAACGAGAGGTAAAGTCAAACGGACACTCAAAGCACATCTCTGGCTCTTTCCTCCCAAAAAAAAAGGGTTAAGTGGTAACAGGAAACAGAATTTCCGTTGTACCCCGAAATAGTCGCAGAGGAAAATCCATTCAGTTGCTCAGTCGGCAAATAGAAATCTACAATGCCTTTTGGCAATGAGTTCTTGGGATTCTTCAGAGTCTCCAAATCAAAGTGAAAAATTTTAATTGCTTAAACGGCACAAAATTGAGTGAAGCAGTGATGATTAGCATCCCCAGTTTGATAACAAAAATGTTTAATTTTATTTTAAAAAAATCAATTGTTTCAGTAAATTGTAGACAAATAAATGTATTTTAATATTACTTATACAAACTGAAGTTTTCTTAGCACTTTCTGGTATATAACTTTACTACATAACTTTGTACTTGATTTGGAAAAATTGAAAACAAAAAAAAAAAAAAACAAACAATTTTTATTAAATTTTTTAAGTGTATTAATATAATCGACTCAGACTGACCACAAATGCACAGGGTCCCCAACTAATATTGTGGCTGAATTGGATCTTCTCCAAAGCTAATCAATGCGAGCAGAGTGTTCGTCTATCAAGATTATCCAGTTTCAACGCTTCTCTTCCTTTTTGCCTTATAGGCCATTAGAAATGTTTTCTATTTCATCGATGATGCCTTCGCAGGCTCTCAAGAGCATTTGCCAGCCAATGCGTCGCGCCGTGGCCTCGTCGTCGAAGCTTCGCATCTGGATGAATGCACTTAAACATTTGATTGTCAGAAGATTGTAAGCAAAAGTCCTTGATTTATAAATTAGTATTGTTTATTAAAATATTTAAGAAGTATTCCCATAATATCTTCGATTGCAATTATTCAGGTTATCGGATAATGTTAAGTCTGTTTTATATACTTTATTGATATTAAAGTGAAAGAACATTTTTCAATTATATTCTGGCAATGAAAAAATTATGCAATTTACTATATTTCAAAAACTCATTAATGTCTGCGAGTCTGGATGACCTTTTTGTACTTTCTTATTTGCTGTATATCTACAGGGTTTGTATTGTTAGACTTTTTCCTGAAAATCCCCATATTATTCTACGAATTTTGCGAAAACAAAGTGAAGAAATATCTTATTTTGCTGAAATACATTACTTGGTAACGTTCTCTACTGTTCTTAGAAATTTAAAATTGTGGTTTTTTAACATGTAGGAGACATTTTGAGGAGTGTGCTTGGCACTTGCTCCTCCGCTGTCCTTGCCATCTTGTCCAGTTTGCGTTTGTTTGGGTGACGGGGTGGCTGCCTGGTTTCCTGGCTATCTGGCTGGCTTACTTGGCTCCCTGGCTGGCTGGATGGACTGGCTCCGACTACTTGGGGCTGGGTTGTCTTGATGGGTTTAACAATTTAACAAGTTCCATGCAAGTTGCTGCTGCTGGTGCTGTAGCGGCTGCTGCCTCTGTGTCTGCCATTGCAGGCAAAGTGGTTTAACTGGTATTATTATTATTATTTTTATTAACTATAGTGGCCAGTTATATGGCTCACTCCAGCCCAGCTCATTCTCTGCTCTCTGGCGAGAGTCAGCATTCCAAGTCCGCCAAACGTACCGAAACTAATTTCAAATCTTTCCCCCCCCCCAAACTTAAGCCGTGTGCAATGTGGCGTATACGTAATAATTTCTTGAGTACTTGTGAGGAAACGTCTGTTCATTAATATTATTGTTCCGTTTTCAGCCATTAAGTTGCTATGTAAAGCGACAGTTCTTGTCGAAGAACGATATATATAAAGTACAGCGATAAGAGCGAAGGGTAAGTATGAATTGAGTAGTAAATTACTCAAGTTACAGCTGTCAAGATGGTTGATTGGATGTTGAGCCCAGCTAAGGGAGAAAGCTTTAAAGGATTGAATCGGTAGCATATTGAAGGAAGCTGACAGCCAGTGAAACAGATTTGCACTTAATTTACCCACGAGCAAAGAAACTTCTTTTCAATGGGAAGCTTGGTATAAGCCCTTAATTATATATCGATGCGATGATTATTTTCAAAGTTACAGCCAATTTTTAAAAGGCTTTTTTAGAATGCTTGCAAGTACAAGTACAAGTAGGTGATGAGCAGCAACAAAAATGTGAGCCAAAATAACGCGTGCCGAAACACAAGTCTTGAAAAAAAATAAAGTAAAACCGGGACGATCGTGGCAGACTATGTGATTCTCCATATTTTTCACTCTTACTCTCTCTTTATATATATATATGTCTCCTCCGGGGCCCTGAGCTGAACGCCAAGGCCATTTATAAATACTCCAAGCTAAAAATAAAATTTGTTGTTGTACACCATGCTATATATTTGTTATTGTTGTTTTGGGTTTTTTTTTTTAAGCAAACAGCAACAACAGCAGCGATTAATGGCAAAGCGATATGCAAACAGCAAATGGAAGCGACGACTTGTTCTGAAATGAACTCAAAGCACCACGATATCCACACTGCATAAAGCCAAAGATCCCAAAACGAACGCAAGATTGGAAACTTAAAAGTCACAGCTGATATGGCTAGATGTTTTATTAATAAGTTTAGTGTCCACTCATACCAAAGCTTCGGCTGGGCAAGCCAACTAAAAAAAGATTCGTAGCCCACATTTGATGGACTATACAATACTCGACCAACCAGTACTCACTCCAGTCGCGGCATTATCTCGACTCAGGTTTTATTCGTTTTATTTTGGGGTGTTGGCTGATAACACAGGCAGGCACAGAGCTGCCTCCCTCCTGCCCTCCGGTTGATTGGAATATTTTTGCACATAAAATTATATTAATAGTATACACAACACAGCATACAATCAAGCAAGAGCTCGGCGATAAAAATCGTCTCTTCAACGTCTTCGATTCCAATAAACATAATCATTATAATGCAAGGCAAGCGAGTTTTCTTGTTATTTCCCTTGTATTCCTATTTTTTCCTCTTTTTGGGCTCTGCGAAATCGATTCCATACTACACCTTAATTCCCCACATTCTGTCACCAACACACGTGTGCACATTAATAAATTCTAAATTTATGGTTTTATGGTTTGCCCGAATAATAATAACCGGGCAACAGTTAAGGCGACTGCGTATGAAAATCCCATTCGAACTTCAAATGAAAATATTTCGATAAATGAACAGCAAATTGGTTTTGCAGAAAAAGTAAGGTGGGGAAAATGCAAAGAAAAAAGGTGCAGAGTCAGTATGACATTGATTGTGTTGAATAATGGGAGGATTTGTGAAAGTGATTTATGTGGTTTTTTTCCAATAATTTAGATATAAAGCATTATACTCGTTTTAGTTGAAAGCCATACGAAATAAAAATTCTCGTACAAATGTGCGGAAATTAAATACGTATAATCATCACTTGGCAATCCACCAAACCACAACTAACGCAGAATATATCGAGTGAATTTAACTAGAAAATCCTTTTTGAGTCCTTCAGGGTCTTATGTGCAGAGCCTTAGGAGCACATTTGCAAACGATTTTTCCGATTTTTTTTATAGTCTGAAAAATCGAAATTAAAATGTACTCGAATGTAATCCATAAGCTGCTTTTAAACCCCGTTTAAGGACCTTGCAAATTCAGCATTTGCAGAAAACCTTCACCAACAGAAAATCCAAACTAAAAAGAGGAAATCGATTAATGGGGTTAAACATGTACTGGAAAAATGTGGAGCTTAGAGGATTTAAGGAGAAAATGCAAAAGAATGTTTGTCCTGGTTTGGCGGCATGCATTTCATTTGATTCCTAATTGATTGGAATTAAAATAATTGGTCGGCAACCGGCGCCAACAAAGTGCTAAATACATACCACTACAGCACTCTATCAATTCGTTGTCGGCCGTTTTCTATTTATTTTGTTATTAAATAATAAGACACAAATTAATGCAATTTGTTTACTCAACCCAACTCAACCGAACTCAAGGCAGGCGGTCTCACTCAATTAACCCCCCAAGAAGAATTGCCGGGCAAAAAATACAAAAAAGAAAAAAACCGAAGACTACAACAAGCTGAGAGGCGAGGGAAGACAAAGACCTATTTCTATTTTCTGATTAGTCATTGTCTGGCCACGCGACAACCAAAAAAGTAGAAAGCGAAAACGCATTAATTAAACAGTTAAGGTCGGTCTTCCAAGATTACTATCGGCATACAAAAAAATAGCCGAGAAAAGGGGCACATCTCAAAACGTGCCCAGCCCAACTGGCGGCGCCTTCTGTGCCCAGGTCTTCAAAGCCTCTCAATCCACCGATAGCCATTGACTTCCAGGTCACAAGATAGCAATGCCAAAACTTCAAACCTCAAACAAAAACTGAAATAGAAAAAAAAAACAAAAGCAAAAACAAACCTCAAATTTGACACCACATGATAAATGGTTTTCTATTTTTTTTCAGATGCTAGTTCCTACTGATGCCTCCAGCTACCTGATCAAACTGGATGTGGTTGTTTAGTCTTCGGTTTTCTTTTCTGCCAGATTCAATTAATTGGCATTTACTCAAATTATCCGATGATGACGGCCAATCAAATACTCTTTAAGTATAATTGGATTCGATGCGGCTTATCTAATGGCGCTGTATCATTTTTTAAGTGGCACTCTTTTGTGTTAAAAAATATGCTAGTTTAGTTTACTCTATGGTAAACATTTTAAGATGCTTCAACAGAAAAACCTGCAAGACTTTATTTTGAATTTTTTTTATATTAATACCTTTTTTAATCTTGTATCTGTTTATAAGCCAATTAAACACACAACAAAATATACAATAAGCTTTAATTGTATTATAATTAGCAATTTCCAGATAGAAAATATGTTTATTTCATAATTATATTTAATATTTTCTGCCATCTCGTTGCTCTTTTAAATCTTTTCAATCTTTTCTAAAAATAATTTAAATGTCTTAACGTTCAATATATATATAGTCGCAAATATTATCATATATGGGGCTTTTAAGCCCAAGTAATAAAAGCCTTCGCCCGGGAAATGATCTTTGTATCCCACCCTACTCCCAATTGAGTTTTCTTGTGCTAATTTAATTGCGGCTCGACTCCAGTTACCCATTGACTGATAGGCCCCATTGAACTTGTAACCCCTGCCACCAATCAAAGCCATTTAAGTTAAGTCTTCGACATTTTTTCCGGAGCAGCCGAGTCGTCGCCTCCATTCCATTGATTGATGGACTCGGCACGGCTTTTCTGTGTTCTTCATTCATTCCCCCGAGCGTGGGCTTACACATATTTTTAAGCTAATTACCCGGCGCCTTCGACTCCCGATCAAAGAGCTATCGCATATCACAATTTCGGCGAACACTCACGTAAATTATTGAAAGGCGAAAAAGAATTACTTGTCATATACCCACATACGTAAGTAAAAACGAAACACTTGATAAGAGCTCGAGATAAACAAATGATTTTGTCGACAAACAAAAACAAATAATTGACTGAGGGCGAAACGAAATCGAATTGAACAATATAATCACTTGAAAATGTCAGTTATAAGAACACTCGGGCCGCTCTATAGAGCCTAAACAAAAAAACGATCCATCGTCTTTGAATCGTATTTCAAGTGTTGCCATTGACGTTTAATTGCCGCTTAACAAATGTATTCTCCTTACGCTTTTGTTTTGTTTTCGGCTTTGGCTCCATGAATAATGACAGTTAAAGCTTGTATACATTTCAAGAGATTTTGGTTTTTTTGTTGAACTAATCGGCGAAGAGGTAGAAGAAATAGCCGAATCGAAACGGTAGACGATATAGA